TACTGTTTTGTTGGTTTTTTTAAATAACCTGTATCCAGCCATTACCCTGTGTGTTAAGTATTTGTTTTCATAACTGTAGTATATACTAAACATGTCTGAATTCTAAAAATAGTTGCAGATTGCAATTGTACATGCTTTGTAGTTTCCATTTCATTTTGAAAAAAAAAAAAGATTAACAGCTAGATCACTTCAGAAACTGCACTTAAAATTTTTGGGAGTCACAAAATTATACTACTTTACAATTTGGAAATGTGCTGGTGGAAAAGATTTCCTTCTAGACATAAGCATGACAGCCTCCATGTGGAAAGGAAAGCTCAAATGCCAGACAGCAAGATGTAAAGAAAACAGACAGACAAGAGAGAGACAATATGCATTTCTTAGAGATTTGAAATGTATTTAGTAACTGTATAAACTTTAATGAGAAACAAAGCACTATGTGCCAAATTGTGTTCCCCCATACATCAATGTAAATTCAGAGTAACATTGGATTTACACCGGTACACATGACAGCAAAATTTGGGCTTTGGCTTCTATATCTGGCTGCAGTAAAATGTAGACTTTCTTAAGCAAGTGTTAAATATAATATTCTACTGATGATACTAATTCAATTATTTCCAATAAGTCATCATTTTAGTGAAAGGCTAGCAAAAGTCAAAATACTTTTTAAATACTCAGCTCAAAGTAAGTAATTTTGAATCCACATTAAAAGCCTCTGTTCATTCATCCCATAAGGTTTTAAACAGTTTAGACCACTGAATTCATTAACAACCCTAAATATGTAACTTTATCATCATGTAAATAGACAAACAGAGTTTGCCAATATCCCTTCAAAACATAGTAACACATGCATAATATCCTGAGACTGTTTGCTTAAGAACTGTTGTTGTAATCCAGCTTCTGGAATGGAGGGAGAAACTGTTTACAGGAAATGTGTACCGATTTTGATGTAGCTCTACTGATACCTGAGTTAAGGTGTAAACAGCAATAGCAAAATTAATCATCGATGTTGGGTAATCATCATCAGTGGCCTCAGACAGGAAAGCAGGTTTAGCAAGCCAAGAAACAGGACGTTTGCAGGATTACAGTCAGGTAATGAAAGTAAACACATGCACACAAGTACTACAATACTAATGAAAGCTATAGCAATGTTAACTACCTGAACCATGATCCACTAGTACATTTTAGAGCAGGCTCAATAATACCACGGTTATTAAAATCATTTCTGCTGAGAGAGTTTTTAGTACAAATCTTGGGAAACAGAGGGTTCCATTTTTTTCTTTTAAGAAATTAAGGGCTAAATTCTGCTCTCATTTATGCCCATGTAACTCCAGAGTAACTGCATTGATTACAGAGGAGTTACTGTGCAATTACACTGGTGTAACCCAAAAGAGAATTTTGCCCTAAGTGATTGAATCATAACAGCTTTATCCTAGCACTGAAATGTATAAACATTTACATCATGTAAGATGTCTGCTTTGAAAAAGGAATGTTGCTGCAAGGTTCAAATATTTATATTGCAGATGTCTAATCAAATAAATTTGACTTTCTGCTGTTTTTTGCCATCCAGTCATTAATTATCTGGATGCAGTTTATGGCTACAGAAAAAGTAAGTTAAGATAGCTCATAGTTTCCAAGCTACCATGGTTCCAAACAGTTGAAATCTCCGCTACTGAAATAGACAGAGCGCAATTTTACCCTGAGAGATACACTCATGCAACTCCCACTGAAGTCAATAGGAGCAGAGGATATGTGTATCAGAGGACAGCTAGGCAACAAGCAAGTATAAAACGGCTCATACATTCTTGCCAAACTGACAAACAATGCACAGTTATGAAAAGAACAACAGTGGGGTTTTTTTAATGCCATTTCTGGTAGAAAACTAATACATGTTCATCCTTAAAAAGCATACATGTACACATTCACACTTGTGTCTTAAAAATGTAAACAAGCACATTTTACAAGTTAAATACACAGGCTCAAGCAAGTTTCTTCCTGCTGAATGCAATCAAGTTTGTATTTCAGCTTCCTATTGTTATGGTGTTAAGACATAATGCAGTTGGACACCCTAAACACAATTTTCTAATCTGAATATAGGATCTACAAACTTGAGTCAAGATCCTTTGAAGACTTACAAACTTGCTTTTTTTTAAAACACATAGTGAATCATCCCAATTAAGTAAATGGTGTGTAAAGTTAAGGGTATGAATAAGTCTTTGCGATACTGGGGCCCTCCAAAGCTATTACTGACTTTAGTGGGCTTTGGATCAAGCCCTTAATAAGTATGGTAATTATATTTTCTTTCATAGGGGTAGGAAAAAAATCACAGTGTAAAAGTAATCGGGCTGGATCCTCAGCTGGTATAAACTGGTGTAACTCCATTAAAGTCAATGGAGCTAAATGAATGTACACCAGCTGGGGATTTGGCCCACTGCACTTAATGACCTTAACAAAGCTAAATAAATAGACTGCCCAAAGTTTACAAAAGTTAGCATCTACATCATTCATCTGATTATACTCCTCCAGTCTGTCATACATCGTGCCATCTGATGTATGCTACACAAACATCACCAAGAAAGTATATTTTAAAGGGTTCTTATTTTTCACTCAAGCGAGGCATATTGGTTCCCCTCCCTCCTTCTCAAATAATTCTGAAATATTTGGGGGGGAAAAAGTCTCTATGTTTGCTGGAGTAAAGCTAAATGGAGAAAAGTTGCAGTTAAAAGGCAGTTAGACCAGGAAAGAACATTCAGACCAGGGGTTCTCAAACTGGGGGTCGGGACCCCTCAGGGGGTCATAAGGTTATTACATGGGGGCAGTCGCAAGCTGTTAGCTTGCCCCACTTTGCCTCCAGCATTTATAATAGTGTTAAATATATAAAGAAGTGTTTTTAATTTAAAAGGGGGTGGGGTCACACACAGAGGCTTGGTATGTGAAAGGGGTCACCAGTACAAAAGTTTGAGAACCACTGATTTAGAATGATGACAATCATTTTTATCTGGTCACTGAAAATTCCTGTGATGATAATTGGTCTTGTTAGATCTTGGTGATGGCACTGTGCTATGACTACTTATAAGAAAATCAGATGTAGCTACATTTTTTTTAAAGGTGATATTCACTGTGTCAGGAAACTTTAATCTATATAAGTTAAATGTCACCACTGTAACTCCATTCCAGGCAGGAAGTCAGTTATTGAGGTCATAACAATAGATAGCATTAATACTAATGATGTAAACTATTTTCATTTTCCCAGAGTACTGAGAGCAGTCATATTTACTGAGAGACTGCAGCTCTTGATGCATATTGTTTTAGTAATGTTTAGCAATTTAAAAAGGTCATGATGAGCTATAAAACCTCTTAGAAAGAAGCTATGCTAATTTATGAGCACCACTTCTTTGTTGATATACAACAAGTGTTGGATACCCATCTGTTATATCAGTCAGTGTTTTAAGACCATGTTACTCTCAAATATCTTTAAATTTTCTCTCAGATTTTTTTCTATCAGCACTGTTCAACTACTTCAGATTAATGCAATCTTATCATAGTTTGGGGTTTGATTTTTTTCATTAGTAATGCAGAATCTGTAATAATACTTGCTAACCAAGATATCACATCATCGGACTTTAAAGGATCAAGACCCTGCAAATAAATTCAGAAGAGGATTATTAGATATAACTGAAGAGAGTCTTTTATAATGTCTGAGAACTAGTGAAGGTATACATAATACCACTATTTCAAAGTAAACCAAATATACATGCAGATCACTTTATTACCCAGAGCTTACTCAAGATGGCTATGGCAGTTATTCTTGTGAAACTAAAGATGTCTCCTTGAATAACTGAACTGTAATACTAATTACACCACAGGTGTTCCTATACAACTTCAGCTTCCAGTTTTAGTAGAAAAACCTCAGATAAATTCCATTCTTTATCTCTTCTCAGCACCTGACAGAGTACATTCAACTTATATACACACACACACACACACACACACACACACACAAAAGCATAAACAGGACAGTTTATTTCAGGTTTTGTTTTGACACAACTAAAGGACATGTTGACAGAAAATGAAGCAGCACTACACAAATGAAGGTTTTTTCCCTTCTACAGCAACCAAAACATATGCATGATGCCTATGTTACCTTAGCATCAAAAATATTTGAAGAGCTTATACAAATATTTATCTGGTACATGAAAAACAGTTTCATTTTGATTACTGTACAGACAAGATTTTACTGGGGAAAGGAACATAATTATTGCCTTCAGCTTGAGAGAACAATTTTAAATGACATTTACTTCACATCTATGTGATTAATGGACATCACTACATGAAAGAAGTATCTTTGTTTTAGTGTGACATTTTGGAGTTAATAGCATTTAAAAAAATGGATTCCACTTTTAAGCGTCTCCTGGGCATTCCAGCTGGAGAACACTTGAAACCAAACTATAAAAGTCCTCCCTTCACTAACGAGAAAGTGGCACCATAATATTGAAAGATAAAGGTTTTCTGTGACTCACTCATAGAGCAGAACTAATCAGAACTTGTGTCAGTTCATCTGTGTTATCAGAGCTTTAAAAATATTTAAAAAAAAAAAAGACCAAGAGTGTAATGTGAACGCAGGAAAACTGCAATTCAGCTACCATCCTTCCCCTTTGTTTTGCAGAACTACACTATATTAGTGCCTTATCCCACGCCCAGAAATAAATCTGGGTTCCTTGCAACCAAGTTTCATCTGTCCACAGACAGAGAGCGCGATGTTTCTCTCTGTTTCACCCCCTCCTCCCCATCCCCTTCCCTCAAGCTTTCCAAATCGATACATTGTCAGGAATAAACTCCATCCTTGCCATCAGAACAAACTGCCCCTCTTGTCAGCAACACCACCAAGCCGGTTTGAATACTTACGTAATTATTTCTGGGCACGCCACGCCTTGCAACAAGTCCCCCCCCCCCCTTTCCCTTCAACAATAACAAACTGGAGTTTAAAATAGAAAGTAAATTACCTTGCACGCCACTATGCTTCACCAGCAACGAGATCCCCACGTAATCCAATAGGGCAGCGCTGGGGCCGCCTGAGCTCAACTGCCCCCTCCCTCGCCTCCTCAAAACGTTCCTCCTCCATTAATTGCGCCTCCCTGGATCTCTCCGAGCCCCCCCAGTTGTGTTTTCCTCTCCTCTCGGCGCCTGTTTCTCCTGACAGATCCCTGCCTGCCTCTGCCTTTGTTAAGGGCTAGAAGTTGAGGGGTGGCTGCTTCCCCTCTGCCTCTTTAACTTCTTGTGTTACAGTGCATGGCTGTGACGTCCTGGCTACATTATAAAGGCGGACAACTGAATGCAAGAGCTGCCTGAGCCAAACTCCTCCCTGCTTCCCTCCCTCGGCACTGAACACACAGCAACAAGCTGCTGCTGGGGTTGGCCCGCTCCCCTCCTGCGGCCAGCCCAGGTACAAACCCTCCCCTTCTCTCTCACACACACCTTCCAGCCACATCAGCCCTGCAAAGCCACCTCGACCACAGCAACAAATCTTAAAGCCGTTGCAGTCTTTGTTGCATTCGTGTTCTGCAGCTCTCTGGCCTCCTCCAGGCGATGCAGGCTATTAATGCAACACAGGAATGCAACGGTCAAGACAAAGTCGAGCAATTGCCTTTCCCATCCCGACAAGGCTCTCTGAAAGCACCAGACCCATGGGGTTGGGGAGAAGAGGAGGGGCACAAAGGTAATCTGGTATTATAAAATAGGCTGAATAGGAGTAAAAGTTTTCCACGTTGTGGTGTTCAAATCCGTTTTTAAATTGTTACGCTCTTTTTTTTAAAAAAAAAAAAAAAGTTAAATATGTGGCTGCCAAGTCGAGTTAATGAAAAACCCTTTGATAGTTAACTCATTTAGTGCAGCAGGCATGAAATAAAGTATGTGGCACAAGGCCAAAGAATAAAGGTTCCTCTTTGGACATCCTCTGGGCTCCCTCTCCAAGGAGTGATTCTGGCCATCTCCGGAGTGAATTGGGAAGTTGTTTTATACAAAAGGTTGCATTTAGTCCTTTAACTGTCCTACCTCTAACCCACCCATCCTTTTACCGCAATTACACAACATGAGAGAACTCAACAGATAAATGACAATCCACCCCTAAGCACAGAAAATGCTAAACTCTAACTGAAGGTCTGGATCACTGCACTTACAAGTAGCACATTCTTGATACACCAAACAAAAATAAAATTATAACATCAATATTTGGAGCGAAGTTGGGGTAGAGGATTAACTAAGCACAAAACCTGGTATGGTTCATGACAGGCATTCCTTTATTGAATGTGCCTATTGTGTAGTCTAGAAATGACCATTATTCAGAGTCTGTTGGTCAGCAGCATTTTTATTCTATTGGAGCAATGAGCTTTAAATTCAAGGATTTGCACTGAACTAAATATTTACTCTGTCCCCTTCACAAAAAAAAACTTTACAAGAACTTCAGAAAGTTTGAGACATGATAGTTTTGTTTTACTTCCCAGTATGAAAGACCTCTCTAATTTTTCAGCAGCAATCTTCTCTGAAATCAATGAGGAATTCTGTCTAAAAATCGATTGCTCCATAGGGCCCAAAGTGATTTTCATAAGAGCACTCTGCAGTCACTTTTAAAAAAATAATGTACTGTGAAGATTGCTACAAGATATAAACAACAATGATGACCTGAGAATGGGTGTAACTCTTGGACTTCAATACACCATTTGCCTCACATAGGTATGACTGCAACGCTGTTGTAAAAATATAACCAGAGATCATTTTATATTTCTTCTCCTCCAGCAGGTCTCAACTTGTAACTTGAAATCTCCTCATATGCTGACTCTTTACATATTCATTATTATGGACCTAACAGAGGTATACGGTTGTCTTGTATGAGATTTGATGTACCTATGCAGATTTCTATCTATCCACACACACACACCAAGGTATGTGTAAATAAATAAAGCAGCCTGGTTCTAGGTCTGAGCAGTAACAGAAAGGCACTCAGAGCTATGGAGAGGAAGAAGTGGCGATTGGAGGCTTGGGCTGTCAATCACAGTTAGAGGGTAGGCAGATGCAAAGCAGAGAGCTACTTTGCATCGGCGTTTCCTATTCTTCTTTGCCACTGTCTCAGTTAATGACAAAACAACCCCAGAGCTTAGGAAACTTAGCCATTTGCACGCAAAGAGTTGGTGTCCTTTAACAATACTGGAGATGGAAAACATTCATTACTGCTTCAGTGGGGGAGGAGGAGATGGAGAACATTTAGCAATAGGGAATGGAAAAAAGAAGAAGCAGAAAAAGGGGGTGGGAGGAAGAGGAGGGAGAGTTGTGCCTCTCCCTAAAAAGGGACTTTGACCTTATAATGATCTCCGAAGGTCTCTGAATTAAATATTTTTGTCACAGGTCAGATTATAACACACACAGACTGCAACTAACTCATTAGTCTAAATTCATTATTTAATCATCCGCCCAGCAGTCCTGTTTCCTTAAGAAAGGAGTGACCTATTTTTGGCTGTAGATAAACGATCATGTTAACAGATGTTAATCTTGTAATCTGTTTTTCCTGTAAGCACTTCACATTTCAGACATTACCAAAAAAAATCTCTCACACGACTTGACGTCATGATTCAGTTTTTATAAAAAATCTTGCAATGGTTTCAAAGACATTAAATCTTTTTCACTTTATAAATGCTGATTTGTTCTGCCTCAACTCCCACAGGCTTTTATTTGCATTTCAAATTCCACAGGTTACACCAGTCGCCTTTTCAGAAAATGTAAACCAACAATAAGGCAGCAAATATGGGGTTGGGGGTGGAATCCTGCATCTGGATTAAATAAAGACCAGGGTTCATGTTTAGGAAGAAGTCTGAACAAATTTATTTTTGAACATCTAGTGTCCAAGTGGCTCTTTAGCTATATGCGTAATGGACATAGACACACAATGCACATTCCCCAGAAGATACTTGTCTACTGCTGGGAGCTTATTAACGCTCATAACAAATGGTGCTGACTCCTAACCAGCACTTTTCAGTTTAAAAGCCAGGGTTTCTCGGGAGTAGTTAATTGGAGAGGTTAGCTGGTTTTAGAGCAAAAACAACAGGGTGACTGTCATTCTACACAAGTTTCCAGACACATTCAGCCTATGGTAATATCCCAACTTGTTCTCTTATCACAGAGTTTAGCAAAGTTTCTTAAACTTGTCGAACCATCTTAATTCAAATTAGGTTCGCAACTATTTGGTATGCTAATTCTCACTGGAGATAGTGGGAGAAGGAGGGGGGAAGGAGGAAAGCTTTCATCGCACAAAATGTCTGGAAATGCGTTATTTCTACTCTTCTTTCTCTCTGTGTCCTTTTTAAAAAATATAAACATTCAACTCCCACCCCCACGGCTATTTTCATCTTCTGGAAGTAATTGCTACACATTGTCCTTCAAGCCCTTCTCAGCGTTCCAGTGTCTATCCGTGAATACTTGTTTTCCACCCCCACCCGCCCCAACTTCCTTTGATAAGCTGTGTACTTCTTTTAATGTTTATCATTGAGTTATGTACGCACAGCTGAAGGGAGTGCAACTAAAAAATGAAGGGAAAACACTCACACACACACCCCAGGCATCAAGCATTTCATGCATATTCTGAATCAATACTACCCAGCAAAAATCCTTAATAATTTAAGTAGCGACTCGAGGCTCAAAAGCTTGAAGTCCCATCACCCACCTTCATTAGCCAAAGCATTTTACTTTAAAGTAAGCCAATTTGTTCTTTGTTTCTTCATGGATGAATATAGCATTCAAGCTCTTCCCCCCCCCCACCCCCGCCTTTGACGAAGTGTACAAAGCCAAAAGGCTCATACAGCCCATAAATTCCCCCACCAGCACCACTGCAGTAACAATGATCTCTTTCTCGGCAAACAGTACAAAGTTACCATTTTTAAATCCCTTAAATTATAGAGTAAGACTAACCATTAATTGGAAAAGCGAAGTTTTTCCCACGGGCGTATTCAGAGGATCCACATCCCCCCAAACCGCCCCCAGCCCCCCAAAAAGAAAAAGATCCTACGGAGATTTTTCCCCACTCCACCCCACCCTGTGCCTTACCTCGTTCGCGTAAGGTAATAATATTTGGGAAAGGACACACAGACAAACAAGAATCTGAAGGTGAAACCATGCGCTGAATGCAATAAGGAAAGAACTGCACATGATTCACTGCGCCAGCTCCACTCCTGCGGACGGGGGGCGACTTGCAAACCCTCTATGTCGAGCCCCAACCCAGGGGCCCCTTCAGCGCCAAACTTTCCCTGGCCCTTTGGCCCGCCGGGGCTGCTTTGACTACCAGACGAAAGACCGAGCCTGGCTTTGGCGAATCCCAGTTGTTTTTCGTTGGCTTCCTCCAATGTATAGGTTGATGTCTTCCCCCAGATGGGAGAATGGTCTGTCCTATATTAAATGCACACACTATCTACTATTGTCTCATCAGCAAAGTTCTGGCACAATGCGGGGAAAGTCTAGATGCTCGAAATGAGTCATATACAAATAATTATTCCACTAATAGGACTGAATCATTATCAGATTTGTTATGTATCTCACCTTCTTTCAAATGACTAAAACATTCAGGAGCTGAATTACTGGAAGCTATCATAGAGGTGGATATGTGTGTGTGTGTGTGTGTGTGTATTGTTTTGTGTGAAAAGTTATGTTTGTGCAAACTACTATACACTCCCCACATATCTAAGCTCTGAAATGTAAGAGCTTGGAGTTGCTCCAGATGCATTTCTATTCGAAACATCCTTTTTTTTTTTTTTAGCTCCACTGGTAAAATATTTATAGATTTATTCAAATGCACAGTAACAAAAACATTAAAGTCCTCAATCAAGATCAAAGGGTAATGGTGTTCCACAGTTACGCTGGAAGAGTTGAAAGAGCTCTGAGCAAATCAATCTGCCATATGGCTTTTTTAAAAAATAATCCACTCCTATGTTTGAAAAGTTCAAACCTTATTTTCCTGTACGTTTGCAAAGCTCAGTTTAATCACCCAAAGTATGTGTGCCATAGGCGATTGGAATATGTTTAGTCTATGGCTGGAAACCCTAAATTAATCTTCTGAAGCTTGGTGCTAGACTTCTTGAGTGTGTTGAGGGTTGAGAGTGCTTGGTTTTTGTTTGTTTGTTGTAAAAATGCATGCCGATGTAGAATTGCCATGCTGGACTTTTGAGGCGGGTTAGTATTATCTTTACACCCCAGAGCTTTCCTTTTCTGCCATGTTTCACCTAGGAATAACTAGCAGTTAAGAGGAACACACTGTCCAAACCACCCCGAACGTGGTTCTTGCCAGACAGTCAAGCTCTGCGCCTGAAAACGGTT